TGAGGACGTCCAATCAATAACGAGAAGGAAGTATCTATAGAGGACACAGCAAAGCTGTCAAAATCACTATGCAGTGATTTTAATAAGGGTAACTCATCATTGCATAACCATGTTTCTTGCAACCAGATAATATCGTACGTTTCACATAATTCAAGTACATCCTTTTTATTCGACTTAAAACCCTTACAATTGTACGAGACAACTCGCACTTCACAGCTTCTTGTAATCGTAGAACCATGATCAAATATCAATATCATTAAACTTAGAGTCATATCGATTATCATCGTAACCCATACTTTTGTTATAATATTTACGAATAATAGCATTCTCAGGCTAAATAGAAGGATCAAGAACATATTCTTTTTGCTTAACGTCACAACTCAATACAAATGAGACATAATCATCACGTTTAGTAGGCAACTTACTCACTTTAGCGTCGATTCACATCTTTCACAGTAGTATCTACAGACATATTACCGAGATACATATGGAAAGGTGGAGGGGGTCTACCTTTGAGCATGTGCTCAATCTTTGTCCCCCTTTTTACGGTTGTACCGCGGAACACTGTATCCATCATTATCAACAGGTTGTTGCACCTCATCGCCACTCGAACGGTTAGGTTTACTGGAGGGCCGACTTCACTAAGTGAACATCATCACGCATTTCGTTCAGCTTTTTGTTGATACACTGCCTTTCAGCGAGACCATGCTCAATATCGCTTCTTATAAGTTGCATTTCAAATTTGATCTTGTTAATGTCACGAAATAAAGAGGCAGCGTCAACAGTATTAAGTGGTACGTTCGGAATCTTAGACAGATCCACAGCAGCGAAAGTTGGAATACTGTCACCATCCACATTAATAACAAGAAATGTTAGGATGTTACTCATATGATTTTCCGCCTTCTGACGCCGTTTCAGCAAAATACTATCCACATCCGTCACATATTCAGCTAATGTATCCTTGGATCGTTTAATAATATCTGAAGTAAAATGTTGCATACATATCTGGTATAACTTGTCATATGGCATAGACCCAATATGATTCATTACAAAACACAACAATTCGTCAACGATAACAATGTCGCTGGACAGAGCATTGACCTGCATCAGAGACTTGGCAACAGCCATACTGCCAGTAAGCAATACACCGTTCGCCGGTAACGATCATTAACACTAATCACAGTAACAGTCAAGATTAGGCATAGCCAGACGAAATGGCCTGTAAATGATATCACTTACTCAATCATACAATTCAATGCAGCAAGTTGGTTCACCAAATGGTCGTAAAAACCGATTGCTGTGTCAATTGCAGAAATATTATCCAAAACTAATAAAATCAGACATAAAAAATCATGTTCTTTGAACAAAAATTTGTAAGTTATAGAACTATGGCTAGAAATGGCTTCTTTAGAAATCTAGGAACCTTTTATCGAGACAAATATATAACAAAACAAATAGAATGTAGCACAAACACACGGCGAAGGGCACGCAGCGGAATGGCCCATTGCATTTAACACTCTAGATGACATGCCCTGTTTAACGGAAACATTTCCTCCGTATAGTTAGATGCACATTGACAACAGGAAGGGAAGGGTTGACATCCGGGATCACAACATAGCTGTACATCATCATTTGTTGCCTTAAGAACGCTTTTTGCGAATTGAACTTTACGCGATTCTTGAAGCCGAAGGTTTGTCATATCTTGAATTATTTGCTGAAATTCCTCCAATTCACTCAAATCAACACGCTCTTCAGGGTCAAGAAGGAGATCGTAGAGAAGTGGAGGATCGTGGAAGGTAGTGGGGCAATCCGATTGCGAAGTACTTCTTTCGCATGATTCTTCACATTCGACAATAAAATGCGCTTTATATCGTTCGTTACGAACTGCATACGGTCCAAATCTTGGATCAGGCTTCGTATGATAATACAGCATGGATGATCTTGTACTCTGTAAAGATTAACCATATAACAAACAACTTATGAAATATTTAAACAAACTAGAGCAGTCACGCCGTAGAGAGCATACCTCCACCCTTTGTCCAAATACCAACAATACACAGGCCGTGTATGATGAGCGAAACTGCAGTATACCCTCAAGGAAATAATTTAATCACCCGTCGTATTAAGGCACATTATTTTTTGGGTGCTGTCTAAATACGTTTTAGTTTATGCTCGAAGATAAAGTATTGAATTTCCGTAACCTGTCAATTGGCTTATTCGACTGGTTCATTTCGTTGACTACGAGTTTCGGTGAGTTTTATTTTCATTCGATTGGTTCGTAAATAGACTTCATTGACCACGGAAATTAACGTAAACCGGAGTGCGTTAATCAGCATTAAGTTATCCACGTGACCAAAACAAACATGGCCTTTGGTCAGTTTAGCAGCAATATTTACCCACATGAAGTCAAAAAATAATTGTAGGCTAATAGAATTCAAAAACTGGATGAAAACATTTTTGTACGAAAAACCCATACTGCCACAAGCCGAAGCAACGTAATTACCCAGCGTGCATCGCGGTAAATATGCAGCCATTCTGTTTTGTCGAGTATTTACCAGTTTTTTATTCGACTGGCCGTCTTCGTTAAGTATTATTTTACCACTGCGCAAGGTGGGTATGGTTTGATCGACTGCGTTGATCTATAGAATTTAATCACGAATTCCGTTTATATTTTTCTTTACTCATTCTAGGATATTGTCAACACCATCACCACAGTTTGTCTTCTGTTAACAATTTTAGTTTTTGAAAAACGCTAAAAAACCAATGTAATGGTATATCATTTACAGTTACAATATTCTTTGCAGTTTGGAAATTATTTCTGAAAAGAGTTAAAGGAAATTTATTAAAACAAAACAATAAACGATTCATAAATTATGTTTATAATAAATGCAGTCTACCTTTTTATTTCTGAATAGTACATCTGAGAAATCGAACCCATCCAGAATGACGTTAAAATCATCTGGAGAGGAACCACTTAAACTTCTCAGCGTTGGCCAGATGTCTAGTTGACTCAAAAATTCGGTTGATATTCCGCTCGAAATACGGCCTTGCCAAAAAGCTACAGTAGGAACACGAACTCCGCCCTCAAAAATCGAACCTTTTCCACACCGTAACACTCCGGAAACCCCGCCCTTTGTTACAGCCCCCAACGCCGCCCTAACAAGAATACAAAAACATAATCAAATGTAAGTAGTAGTTGTTGTTCATATGTGATAACGAATTAAATAATGGGCCTGATGTCATATAGGCCTTCATATGGGGACCGTACTCCCAGGCCATGATGGGGCTGAGGTATAGGTGTTGATTCAAACCATCGGAAATTGTTGTTATTCCCCTTCCCACAACAAAAAGAATCCTGGATCCGTCCCTGCTGTGTGGGTAACATAAAACGTATAATAATTTAGTCTTACCCATTATCCGAAGTTACAATGATTAACGTATTGTTAATTACTCCACTCTTCTTCAATTCATCCATCACTTCTCCTACTTGCCAATCTAATTCCGCTAATGAGTCGGTGTATTCACCACCTAGAGTTGTATTCCGAAATCTTTTTCCTGCGAAATTGGGTATATGAGTATGTAAGAAAGCATACATGAGAAAAAAGGGAGTTCCAGTACAAGAATATTCCTGAATCCAACTTCTCGCTGCTCTAGCTTGACGCTCCGCTAACTCTATCAAATTAACGGGTTGCTCAATTATTTCATCTCCAAGCATTAGTTGACACGGAGCTTGTGAATAATTACAGCTATCTTGGGATGTGCAGTTATCATCTGGAAAAAAACACTTTTCACACGGACAATCTGCATGAGTATGTGGAATCCCAAAATAATTATCAAAACCGTGATGCAAGGGAAGATATTCTCTATTGTAACCAACACCAAGATGCCATTTGCCAATGAGGGAGGACTTGTAGCCTTGCCTAGCCAACATTTCTGGAATGGTAACCTCAGTGTGTGGCAGGCCTTCCGTAGTTTCCTGATGGAAAACAGCCCTACGATCTTCATTATTCCAGACTCCTGTGCGTACAGGATAGCGTCCAGTTAGAAGACCAGCCCTATACAAAAACGTATATTCATTAACAGTGAGCAAACGTCTGAGCAATGTAAAATTATGTCGTTATATGGTATAATTATTAAGATCATATTTTAATCATTAAGCCTATTGTAATAAAGCATTATAAAATCCCAAAAATCTTTCTGCGAAGATAAACATAGGCCTATCTATTTTTATAGTATTCAATCTGATAACGAAAAAATAATTTTAAAATAACATTACCACAAAAATTATAAACTTGTCCGATTCTATACACCCTCCCTGACTATCTATCTATCTATCCATCCATCCATCCATCCGTCCACCGTCCTTCCGTCCATCCATCCATCCATCTATATATCTGTCTCTTATACACATCTAGATGTGTATAAGAGACAGCTTATTTACTTGATTAAGGAATTCGTTGTTAGTAAGTTATATATTTACTATAATCTACATAATATTATCAATGCCGCAAATAAATGGATTTAGACTTAGCCTACCTGTGTATAACTTTGGTGTCAACATACTATCTATCAATGTGCTGTACTTGGTCGATTAACTTACTATCATAGGCTTTTATATATTATAATTTTAAACTCACATTCTTTAAGGCCTACAAGTTTTCATTATTAGCATTGTGTGCGAAGATTTTTTAAACAGTTATTTGGATAGCATATTATGTTATTACCTGTCTCTTATACACATCTAGATGTGTATAAGAGACAGGTTTAAGGGTGGGTAGGTAAAAAACATTCATAAACTCTAAATAATAAGAGTGGATTTTAAGGATGGAAAAGTGAAATAAGGGTGGGTGGAGGCCCATGAAATTAGCTTTATAGCTTCAAGACTATGTGGCCCCGCCCACCTACGTCCACCATAACTACATCCCTGTATAAAATCGAATCCATAAAATGACAATTAATATCATAAATATAATAACAATAAAACCAAAATTAACATTGAACATGCAAAGTCAGACACCAGTATTTCCTCCGCCAACCACTTCCTATCGAGTAATTAATGCATCGACTATTTCCATAGAAACTTTGTGTCGTTATTACCTGGTGAAGTATAAAGGGTTTGAGCTATGTATTGCTTGGCGCGCAACAAGAACAATGACTCCTGATTCATTGTGCATTTTCACAGCAGCAGAACCGTGGAAATATTCATATACGATACACACTGTATACAGGCAAATGGGTACTATAGTAATAATTATAATTATAATTATAATAATTATAATAATTATAATAATAATTATAATTATAATAATAATAATAATAATAATAATTAATAATAATAATTAATAATTAATAATAATAATAATTAATAATTAATAATAATAATAATAATAATAATAATAATAATAATAATAATAATAATAATAATAATAATAATAATAATAATAATAATAAATGTACCTATAAAAATATAATTTCACGTTGAAGATATATCGTCTGCATGTCGGAACGTTCTTTATGAATAAATGGTTGAAACAGAAAAAAGGTAGTAGAAAGGAAAGCAACACAAATAAAGAAAAGTAAAAAGAAAACAAAAACAGGTCAGATAGGGAAATTAGAGATTGTCAAATACGGATGATCATACTGTACTGCACTTTACTGTACTGTGCTTTACTAATCTATATATACTGTACTAATAAAATACTGCACTGTACTATATTACTGTTAAAAACATTTAAACATTCAATCAAATATTGAATAACGAAGTCAAAAGGATCAATTATTAATTTTGAAAGATACTTAGATTTACAAACCTTTCATAAATTTATAGTTTGTTGAAGGTCTATTAATAAATAGTGAATCTTGAATTTCTATTAATAAATAGTGAATCTTAAAAAAAAAGTTAAAAAAAAAGGTTAACACAATTTAGATCATACATCACCTGATATGAGACAGTGTTATTATTAAATCCGGCTTTATGCGTTAATAATAAGTGTTATAATCGAAGAATCAGTTGTATGAATTCGATGGTAACTCTAACTGCAATTAATATTGATAAACTGGCAAAGTAACATTTATTTTTTTTAAATCAAACTAGAAGGCAAATTACTCGCGTCCCTCTACCAGCCATATTCTCTATATATATTTTTTTTAGAAATAATAGTTTATTGTTTATGTAATAACGAACTAATAAATAAATAACAAATCATATTTTTACATCTGGAAACAAACAATTGAAATCCTTTTAAAGCACTTTAGCAATTTACTACCAGCATAATTATTGGGTTAATAATCAGAATTTCATTTACTAAAAATAGAAATATTGACATTAATGAATTTGTTTGACGTATTTTGCATGATTTATGAGTACATGATCCCAAGCGTCATATATTGTACAGCTTTAGTTTTCCGATATTAAATTCAGTTATGAAATATTTATAATTGTTTAATGTGTTGGTCAACACCATCAAACTAATATAAGTAGTTAACGTTTTAAAGCTGTTTACAATCTATGTTATAATTACGCTTATGTAAAAAAAAAATAATGTAAAAATGGTCCTCAATAAACGTTCATGATTCAAGACCTAGCGGTGTGAAAAATTATACCAAATAGATCACCAGATTGCAAATTATACGCGTCACTCTACTATTCATATTTTCTATACACTTTTTAAAATATATTTTATTTTGTATGTAATCACGAACTAAATATATCCCAAATCATATTCTTACATAGAAAACCAAACTATGAAGATCTTTTTAAAGCACTTTAGCTGTCAATTTACTACCAGCTGATTAAACTCAGAATTTCATTAACTCAAAATAGAAATACTTACATTAATGAATTCGTTTGGCCAATTTTACATGAATTATGAATACATGATCCAAAGCGTCATGTATTGTACAGTACTTTAGTTTTCCGATATTAAATTTAGATAGGAAATATTTATAATTACCCTCGCCTCTCCGAATGAGAGGTGAAGGATTGCAATAGCGCGCGTCTGTGTGTGCGACTCGAGGGGATCGACCACAGGACAAAGTTGAGGGTGTGTAAAAATCTGGCCGACGGACTAAAAATGGTCATGCCGGCTTGCAAACTCGCCCGATTGATGGGCGCCTCGTTTGGCCTGGCTGAGCCAACTTGAGCGGATCTCCCACCAGCCGTTATTTTTTAGTATGGCTAAATATCTTTGGTATGGCTCAACAGGGCGAGGGTTCGCAATCTCAGATTATCTTGTTACCCTCTCGCCCCTAAGAAATGGGGAAGTGGGTATTGCAATGAGCTCTGTCTGTCCATCGCTGTGGGGGCTGTCTGTCTGTGGCGTGTTTGTCCTTCCGGGAGCACAACCCAAAAACTACTGGACCGATTAACTTAAAACTTTCACACATTGTCAATATTACATATGTAGCACGGTCCCGGTCCTACCAACTTTGGCGCATATGAGAAGTAAGGTGTAGATTTTATAACGTTATTTATTATATAGTTTTCGGTTGCAACTGACAGAGTCAACTCGAAGGGATCGTTCGACCGAGTAGTTTGACTAGACCAGGCTGACTTGAGCATATTGACCGTGGACAGATTCGAGCGGATCGACCACTGTCTCTTATACACATCTAGATGTGTATAAGAGACAGGTGTGTGTGTGTGAATATATATATATATATGTGAATTGGACACGTTTATATAACGACGGAAACCTTTTAATATACGTAACGCGAAATTTAGTAATATCGTGCACTAAAAACAAACTAAAAAAAAAAAAAAAAAAAAACCCGGAAAAATTTGCACCAATGATAGTCATACTATTAAAGTAAAGTTCTTACTCTAGATTACAACAGAATGTTTCATTTTTGTTGGACTTTCAATAAACATGTTTGGTTATGATTTAAGCAAGCAATGATGTTTGTTTGTGTTTGTTTATTTTACGTAGTTATTAAAAATAATGTGCTATGATTATAAGATGTACAAAGCTTTAATCTTCAACGTCTCTGTCATCATATAGGCTAATTGAACAAACATTTGGCCCTCGAGATCTTCTCTAAAAAAAAAATAGGCCCGCCAAAGAAATGAATTAAGGACCAAGGGTATATAGGCCTATACTCAACTATCTCGAAAAGAAGCCCTGCTATCTCGAAAATAATCCCATGGGCTTCTATTAGAGATGGGCTTCTTTTCGGGGCTAATATTGCAAAAAAATAAATAAATAAAAAAAAAAAAAATAATAATAATAATAATAGGGGGCCCTTCAATTCAAGATGGGCTTCATCTCGAGATTAAGCCCACTGGGCTTCAATTCGAGGTTTTACGGTATATGTGTTTATTTAGTGGGTAGATATATTAAATATATGGTATAGGTGGATTAACGAACTAATTGGATGAGAATGGAACCGATTGGTATAGGCCTATGCGTTATAGGCCTCATCATTGATTTGGTTTATCTTTATTTTTCTTAATAACTGTGATTTAGGCTTATTATTTTCTGTTTTGGTCTTTTTGTCTTTGTTTTTTTTCCTGATTTTTTGATTGTGTAATTTAAGAATGATTGTGCAATTTGTTTTCGTTGGTAGTATGTAGGTTTCCAGTATAAATTCTGTTATATTTGGACAATAAAGATTTGATTATATTTGATTTGAACTACAGCTTAACATTGGCGCAGGGTCGAAACCTTAGGCTTCGCCAAGGGTTCAAGCTGGTAGAACACAAAGTTTTCTTTTCCTCCATTAACAATGTACCACAATATTCCACACACCTGCACGTACGGTACCATGTCCCAACTTCCCGACTTCTCTCTACATTCGTGGCACCAAAACGAGAACCGTTTGATTGGTTGACCTTCCGTCATAACATTCACCCTATTGGCAAATACGGCATCCTAAAAATTACGTCATGCTTGTCACGGCCAGCGGTCTGCATTCGATTTGACTCACTCTTTTACAAGTCTCTAATTCTCATCAAAAAAGTTTCTCAACATAAACTGACGCTGGTGGCGCTTTCCGAAATGCGCTAATGTACTACGAAAAATCCATAAATTAGAGGCTTGTGGCAAGTCTACCTATG